TGTGCGTGGTTCTGCGCTTCGGGCCGGGTTCGGTCGGGTTCGGGTGGCTCTCGGGCTCGCAATGGCTCGTAGGTCTGCTCGCAGCTTCCCAGGAGTTCGCTGAGGCCGAGGTCGATCCTGCGTGCGCTTCGCGTGCTTCTGTCGCGCCCCTCGGAATCGCCGCGCAGGAATTCCGCTTCGAGCAGTACGGATTTGGGGAGTCGTTGGGTCTGGACGCCGGTTCTTACGGAGAGGAGCAGCTCAAAGTAAAGAAGTGTCATGTCCAGCAAGCCGGATGTGGCTGGTGCGAGCCTCTGCAAGGGAGGGCAAGCCTCTGCTGCCTTTGTTCAGGATGCAACAGCCTTTGTCGCGTGCTAAGCTACAAGTCGGGCGAGTGCCAAGAGAGCGGTCTGTGGATGCTGAGATGCGAATGGGAAGTGAAGAAACTTCTGAGGCCATGCTGCAGGACCGCCAATCCACCTAATGGCTTGTGTCAGAATGCTGAATATCAGGGTCAGATGCAGGGCCTACATGCAGTGCCGTTGGCGAGGCAATTCGAAAAGCATGCCGATGTAGATCCCCAACATCAAGACGACCAAGAAGATAAAACAGCCACGACCAGCACGACACCACGACACCACCACCGCACGACCACCATGACCCACCGCGACCACTTCGACCACCAGGACCACCAGAACGACCATGACAACAAGAGGGAGGCCCATGTGTTGGAGTTTACAATGAGTCTAAAGCTTTCGCTCACTGTCCTTTCTATCCAACAACCGATGTCGGACCACCGAGACTGTAACCAGTTTTAACATGTGCCGAAACCAAGTATGGCATACGCAGAGCGAAATCTCGCCAAAGCTCATGGATAACGATGCACGACCCCATAGCCAAAGCTCCCAGCTTCCACAGAGAGGGTTGCCATGTAGCATGCGCAATGCAAAATCGTGGGGCTGGTCGGAGCGGCGAAGCTTGCAACCTGCGTCGTTTTCCGTTTCTCCAATGATTTCGGCTCGCATTTGCTTTCTGACGTCCAGCATGGAGGCATCCATCACCGTGGGCATGCTCAAGATCATGATGATGATGATAATGTCATCATCACCATCACCATCATCACAATCATCACCACCGTCATCACCATCATGATCATCCTCAACATCGTTACCACTCAGAGCATCCACGTGGTTTTGCTCATGATCTTGTCAGGGCGTGTCACATGACCTTTACAGAATCTCGCATGAACACCGAGCTGTAGTCTGTTTAGGAATTATTTATTGTATCTTTAGGATTTTTTAATTTTTGTTTTTATTTTTGTTCACACAAAACCCAAGAGAATATTAACAATATTTTTATTCTGGTTCTAAGGGGGGTACAGCGAGAGGGTTGCCTTTTTTCGGTCGAGCCGAAACCATGATCGACGCACGTGGTGCCCCCCCACACGGAGCGTGTGCGCATCTTCATTCGCGAAGACAAGTCGTTACAAAGCGACATAATATAACGTTCCTACCGAGAGGGTTGCCATTTGCGGACGGGAATGGTGCCGAAACAGCGATAAACGATGGGTAAACGTATTTCGGCCTAGAGTGGAGCATCGCTTCACCTGCCGCTCTAACCCCGCGCGTTACATGTTTGTATGTTACCGTACTTTTTCATTCACATACAAGGGGCTCACATGTGTCAAAAACGACATGCACAGCAGTCAGCCGTAAAGCCCTCGCAGCAACTTCGGGATATCGGGTATTGAAGCGAACAAATCATCTGTGGTGAAAGGTTCGCTGTTACAGGTTGATTTCGCAGCAGCTGGCATGTGCTGGTACAGTGTGTGCCCGAGCTCGTGGTTCTGTCATGCATCCTAATCTCAGCACGAGACTCTGAATTTTTGGGAGTCCAATGAACCAAAAGCTTGTCGATGCCCGCCCATTTACATAAGTTGAAACGGCACGAAGCTGCAACTTATGCACCACCGATGCACTCCTACGAGTACCCAACACACTAGACCCTCAAGACCTCTAAAGATCTGTGAAAGCCAGTTAGGAGTTCCTTAAAGGACCGATCTGCCAGTGAAAGCGACACAGAGTTCGAGGCAGGCCCGAGCTGTGAGAACAGAGTCGCAGACATTGCTGAGAGCGGGATGTACCCACTGTTTGTCGAACCTACATCGAGGCATCAAAGTGACGCTTGTTGCGATCCCGGATACTCCAAACCACGAACGAGGTTTACCACATGCAAAATGTCGTAATGTCGGTGTGTTCCAGTCGCAAAATCAGACTGCACTATCAGACTCTCGCTTCATTTTGGAGCTTCTGTCCAATCCTTTGCAGCATATGGTCTATGTGCACCAGTCCTTCCCGAACTGCACGAAAAACACTCCTTGGCTGTTGGTCTTGTGCCAGTGTTGGAGGCTGAAGGTTACAGTCAATCGCTTGATAAGGTTTTGTTATGTTGCAGTCTGCTCTCGCAGTCGTTGTATTGCAGGCATCCAACTTCCTCGGCCCACGCAGCCGGCTTACATCTTCTATCAGTTCTTGTCGAATCAGTCGGCTTAAATGCCGCTATTTTTCAATTTCCAGAGCTAAAGGTCTGCATGCTGGGAACCTCTGCTTTGGCAGTTCGGGGAAGTGGTTAAGTAACGTTCCCGTCGCAGATGTAGTATCGGCTGTATGGGACGATGTACTGCACTGCCCCCAGTTCTGAGACTCCTGTGCTGCGGCTAAGAGACCAAGGTCGCGGCGGTCTTCAACGTCAGCAGACAGTCTTTGGCTTGGACGTTCCAGCGAAATTGCTGTTGAAATTCCGGGACTGCAGGCTCCACCCACAGCGGCCTTCAGCAAGGAGCGGTTTCAGAAATACAATGCCGCACACGGTCTAGTTTACCTTCTGAGGATGACGACAACATCATGTTGCGCATCAAAGGCACCTTCATGGAGGCATCTACCTTTCCGCCACTTACTTGCATCTTCGTCGCCAGTCTACCGATGAGCACATGTATAAGGACATATGCAACCAACGCGGATGTATGTCTGAACATTTCGGTGTCACCTTCAGACAGGTGAAGATGAGACTGTTCGGCAATGTACTGCGTTCCAGCACTGCAAACCCAATGAATCAGTTACCGTTGGCGACAATATTCACCCAAGACCAGTACGCATTCGCAGGACGGGCAAACCTCAGAGTCGTAAACAAAGATGCATGCGTTACATGTACCATCAATGAACACGGAGCAGCTGTATTCGACGTTAATACTCCACAAGTCAAAGCTCATGCTGTTGCCAGACTACCGTCGTTTTTGTTGAGGCAGCTGCTCTCCAGCTTCTTGTCCGTGTTTGCTTGCAGTGTGTGTATTTGTGCATTGGTTCGTCGGGTGCTCAGTGTCTCTGCTCTTCGGAAACATGGACCATCATTATCATCGTCGTCACGCTTGCTATCATTGCTGGTGGTGTCGTGGCCGACGCACGTGTGGCCGCACTACAAGACAGAGTGGAGTCACGCTCGACCTCGAGCGCACGGAACAGGGGTCGGGCGTGCCCAATTGGGTCCAACCTGACTGCGGCAATCTTGCGTGCCGAAGTTTGCTTCCAAACGCCATGGGGACGTCATTGCTGCTGGTCCCGGCTTCCGCATCCCGTGACCCTGCTATCCAAAGCTTGCATCAAAAGCCACGCAAAAAGCTGAATCTGCAGGGAGGTCGATCGTTGATGCTGTTTTCGGGGTTTTGCAAATGTGAGACCTGTGAGAGGCCGTCCGAATCGACGAAGATATTCCTCAAGTGTCTATGCACCGCTCGTGGAGTGATGGAGATCTTGCTCAGCTTTGCGAGGACCCTCGGGCTAAAGGGACGGCTGCACGTCTTGGGATTCTTGATGGTCCATGACCGCAAGCGCCAGCAGGCAATTGAGAGCGAGTCGGAGGCCGAGTCTGAATAGAGACCAAACCCTTGTGCCAGCGCGTGCTGGCAGACAGAATCTTTTTTCATATTGCAGTGTACAGCAATGCTGTGCCAAACTGCGATCAGGCAATTGCTCGTTGTGAAAGCAAGTCTTGTGACTTCGTTGGATCAAACTTACATTGGTTGTACGCGGTTATTAACGTGTTGGCACGCTTTCTCCTAGATAGGACGCATTGTAACACCTACAGATTTCTCCAGCCGCAGCATGATGGCTTTAGACCGGCTTTTGAACTTGCCGAGATGACAGTAGACCACCAAACCGGAAAGCACAAGGTTCAAGAAACTCTATGTGTTGAGGAATTTTGTGGGCGGTGAACGGTGGTCTACTTAGGGCCATGGGTGGACGCAGGAGAGTCCGGGATAACCGAGTTTTCCGGCAGAGTAAACAGCCTAATGGGTAATTCAAATTAAAATGTGGTGAATAATGTTGTAATCCGATTGATGCTCGCGCTATAGTAATTGAAATGGCGAATATGCTTTGGCTACCTCTGCTATTTTTGGCATTGCCCAGTGATTTTTGAAGGTGTTCGCACCAGCTTCGTGGCTTTCAAAGAGCGAGTCAGCTTACATTGCAGCCCGCTATGTTTCAGCAGGCTTGCAAGGCTGAAGCGCAGAGTCTGGGCAGGTGTAGCTGTGCTGCATTTCTCACCTTAGTCGTGTTGAAACGCATATGGATTTGGAATGCAAGGGCCAAGTGCTGAGCCCTTCAAATTTTCAGATGTCTCCATGGAGCTGCAGCCACAACGATGGCAGCAAGTCGACTTAGTGTTGCGCGGCGAGCGCAAACTCCAACTCCGTCGCCCAGCTCCAATCTTTAGAAAACAGAAAACGACTTTTGTAGAATGGGTGAACCTGCTTGTCGAATCTTCGACGCTTCGGGCCAACTTCGGGCTCCGCTCTGCGCTCGCAGCTTCAGGAGGCTTCAGAGGATGCAGGTACATCGTGCGAATCATGTGGTGGCAGACCGTAGAGTCGTAGAGCCTTGACAGATTCTCACTCAGTGACCAGCAATTCACGCGCACGCACACACAGACACACAGACACACACACACACACATCGTATGGGAGCATGGGTCAGATCCTGAGAGCATCGCGGGGGAACGAATTTGGTTAACTGTTCGCATCTCCAGTTGACAGTAGGAACGGCTGGCACTGTCGTTGTTCTCCTTTCTGAGGCCAGAACTGTTCGCACATCCAGCGTCAGTGTCGTGAGGTCCCTCTGATGCATTCGCGGAAGCAGTTCGTGTATTCCCCGTTTTGTGATGTCCGAAGGAGTGCAACACTGACAGTTGTCACATCGATCAGAACGAGATGAAGGCTGCTTCGATCACTGGCCTCAGGTCACTCAGGGAGTTACTAGAGGGTGCTATTGCCGCAGTTTGGTCCTGCAGCTCCAGATTGCTGGCAAGATAGCCATGGAGGCTTGCAGCGGGTGCAGATCTCGATACAAATCCTGATCGGTATGCTCTGACTTAGGTGTTGCGAGGTCATCCAGGCCAGGTTTGTTCTTGACGGTATCCGCAGCTTTCAGTATAGAGATCCTGAGTGCGAGAGGTCCACGGCGGCCACCTCTTCGTGCAGCCTGTGGTCAGGAGAGCACAAGTCACAAGCGGATGTTCCGCTCAGCACATCTTGTTGTTTTTGAGCGAAGCCTTGCGTTGTGGTTTTCTAGAGACGACGCTCGCAGCGCGAGATTTCATTGCTGCAGAGCCCCAAACATGGTCCAGAATGGCCAGAGATTTTGGATCGCTTCGAAACGCTTCGAGGTTACTTCGGAACTCGTGTCTGGCAAGTCTGGCAAGCACCGGTTTACATCTTTTGTGCTTGGTATCTCGGCCCGCCTTAATCACCTTAATCCGTCATGCAGAAATGGTTCCCGAGTACACTCACCGTGTGGTGTGGGAGTCGCATTCAGAGTTCGAGGGTTTCGCAGACTTGTGTCGGACTGCGCTTTTGAAGCAATGCTGAGTATTTTTCAATATTGCCACCACTGGGCGAGCAGAAACCTGGTGACGGACTGCAAGTTGACCTTTTTCAGGAAAGCGACTGTCTCCAGAGTCGGCCTGGGGCTCGCCGGCCGTACTAAGTTACAGTGAAGGGGAGACGACAGAAGTGCAAACACCTTCAGAGGCACGCAAACTGGTGGACTGACTATCAGCGCTTGTGATGTCTGGAGACATGACCGCGGGACATCAGGTCACCTGGACCAATGGTATCGGCAGAAGAATGCACCCAGGCTGACGAATCTGCGCGGTGCAGGATGACTGTCCCAGCAAATGAGGGTGATCCCAGCGATTGCATGTATGTGTCAGGTCGTTGGCAGTTGACACCAAAGGCGCGCGCCAGATGTTGTTTGTACTTCCAAATCGGAGGAGCAGCAAGAAAGTCTGAGAATGCGCATGCCAAACCATAGTCAATGAACCATACTTCAAATGCATGCGCTGGTGTTTGGTGTTAGATAATTAGAGTACTGATTCAGAGCGCAGAGGCATCTTCCTTCGCCGGCGGAGCGTTTCCTCCAGATCCACTGCAGGTTCGATCTCGTCGGCTTCAGAATGTGCGTATTGTTGGGAAGCTTTGTTGCTGATTCGAAGACACCTTCAGTTTCAATCGTCGCGATGTATGAGGCTACGCACAGGAGGTCACATGCAGCGTTCCGAAAAGCACGTGGTGGACTGATGGGCAATGCTCGTGGGGCAGTCCTGAATGTGCTTTGCAGGCCCCCTGTGCTGCACAAAGCTGGCTGAAATTACGGCGTGTAGCACTGAGATTCGAGGGTGTGAGGGTTCATCCTGGGTTCTAGCATGTCAAACTGTCTGACTGTCAGCCATGCAAGGAACCAAGTCTGATCATCGACCTGTCTAGAGTCAAGGGCCTAGGGTACGGCAAAGGTCCGGGCTAGCACCCGCAGGGGGCGGCAGGCGGCAGCAGGCGCCGGCGTCTTACCTTGCCTGATTGCCGCCGGCTTTCGCATCCGTGCTGCGTTGACCACGTCGCTTCTCACGTGAAGTGCGGCGCTGCCAGGCCGTTGCTCGAAGCGCTGAGCGGAATTTGCCAAACCGGCCAAACCTGCACAAAGTGGCAGTTCAGGCATCGCAAGTGTGTCTGAAATGGCATGCAGCTGCCGTCGCTTGGTTTGCCTTCGTTGTTTGTTGACCTCGGCAAGCGACCCGAGCCTTAATGCCACAGAGGGATCTGGTGAATGTGACATGCTTACTTTGCGCCAAGCTTCACGACAGCCGTGTTCAAAAGTTGGAGTATGTGAAACTTTAGCTTCTTCTTCTGCTCAAGCCTAGTTTTGCATATCGGAACATGGTATGCCGTAGACATCGATGTAACTTAAGCCGAGCAAACGAAGAAACAGTGAGGCACATGTTGGTCGACACATGTCGGCACAGAAACGTGATCTTCGTCAAACGGCTCTCCAACAGGTGTGTTTCCCTAAGTGATGTCCAGGAGCATTCCTTAAACAGGAGCCAGTGCCAGAGGGTCATGTGTGTCACTGTGTGTCGTGATCGCAGAGGCGAGGCAAACCCTTGTGTGATCGGCTGATGGCTCGAGGTGCACCTGTTGCCTAGCTTCGGCTATTGAGACTCTAGCGATTCTTGAAAGGAAGCAGTTTATGTAGCTCGAAGAGCACCCGGTCCATAGCCGAGACGGCGACATGCGCATCCCTTACGGGAGTGCAAAACGACTGAGCCTTCTCCGCCTGGTCTGGTTTGCTCTGCGAATTGAGCTACGAAATTCTTGAGAAGTGGTCCTTAATCGAGTATGTTTTAAACTGAACCTCACAGCTGCTGTTTCTGTCTCAAATCTTGCAACTACAGCCGTCGCATTTCTCTGGGGCTCCTGTCTTCACAGCATCGAAGGCTTTCAGCCCCGCATCTTCAACAGTTAGTTTTGGACCTCCCGCAGCCATGTAAGTTAAGTGTGCCTCAGCGTCTTTGCCAGACGAGAAACAGCCAAAACCTCTGAGGTCGATATCACGAAAGCTAGCGGAGCGAGTCTTTCTTTGCTATCTCTGGTAGCAGTGGAGGATGGGAACGAGGATTATCACAGGAACCAGCCCGCCTTCGTTACTGTTCTAGCGTGTTGACTGCGTGTGCCAGTCATGTACCGTGATCACATTGTGATGTCTATTTCGTGCGCGGTGCCTCATTGTGCCTCACAGCTGCTTGTTGTCGGTGGTTGTCAGATTGCCGGCTCGATGCAAAACTAGCATCATCATCCCGGCCCTTTCTCTCAATGCATTTAATTCCCAAGCTCACGACTTCAAGGCTCAGAGATTAGGGATAGAAGTTCATGGTCTCGTGTTGGTAGGTGTCGTCAATTCCGGTTGGTTTTGACGGAACAGCTGGTTGTACCTAATCCTCATCATGGCACGAAGTAGCTGTCAGTGCGGCCGGGCACAGGTGTTGGTCACGACGAAATGTGCCTTCCAGGGTTGTGTGGGTGTGAGTTTATCAGTCTATCGTACCCGTCTGTTAACGATCGAATTTGGTTGGGCCTCACGTACCGCACGCAAAGCAAGCGTTGAAGTGTATGTGTAATGGACTTGGGCACGGGCATCGATCTCTGGTCTGGATCGTCCTCATGGCATTTCACTGTGCCGCTGCTGAACAGGATTCGCTGAATGCATCTGAACCGCTTCTTGCTATCTTGCCACCTGCTGGGACGCTCGAAGAGATTCCAGCTCCAGGCCAAGATAAAGGGCAAGGCCTTTTATTGTCAATTCGTGTGAAAACCCGAGACGGGGTATGCGAGCAGATGCTAGATCGAGGCTGCGAGCTTCCTGCAGAGGCCAGAAGAGTCTTCACAACAACGCAGGACGATCAAGCAGCAGCACGAATTGAGCTTTATGTCGGTGAACGACCTTTTTGTGAGGGCAATCGCTTTCTGGGCATGCTCGAGTTGGCACCTTTACCAATGCCATCTTACCGGTCTTTCTTGCAGCTTGAGGTAATTATTCGAGTGGATGCACGCGCCAAAATTTCTTGTGCAGCAAGCGAAATCGAGAGTCGTGCCTTGGGTGAACCTTACTGTCGAGGAGAGTGGCAGGGCGACCTTTCAGACTTCAATCCTCCTCCGCCCTCCAACCCATACACCGAAGTCGTGCTGTTTTCTCACGCTTTGGCGAAGCATTTACCGGTGCTGCTGCCAACACGGACCATCCGCCTGCCATTTGGACACTCTGGACGCGACATTGTCATTCGTCAGCACCAACGCCGAGAACAAGAGCGAATTGGGACGGGGGGAGTGCTGTGGGAGGCAGCTATTGTATTAGCTGACTTCGTGGCACGTAATTCCCAGCAATTTGCGTGGCAGGGGAAACGAGTTTTAGAATTGGGGGCAGGAACTGGTCTCGTGGCTATTGCTCTTGCTCTAGAGGGTGCAGACATATGTGCAACAGATGGAAACCCGCGAGTCCTTGATGGTGCGGAAGCCAATATTCAAGCGGCAATGCCTTTCCCAGGCCGTGTAGTTGTGGAACAATTCGACTGGAATTCTGCTGAGGATCTTGCCAAGATTCAAGCGGCAGGACCTTGGGGTGCCATCGTTGGAAGCGATTTGGTGTACCCCGGCAACGCTGGCAGAAAGTGCGTGGAGTCAAACGTTCAGATGCCCCCCGCGGATCAAACTCTGATTTCTTTACTGTCTGCTCTTGCAAATGCTGACACAACAGTCCTCTTGGCACTCAAAGACCGCACCGGCGAGCTGCAACGCTTTCATGACAGCGTCTCACGACTCGGAGGCTGGACAGTTCACCAGGCACCATCTGACTGGATAATGCCCGAGTTTCGCATGGTTCAGCAAGTGGCAGTGTTGCAGCTGTACAAGAGTTAGGCCAGGCAGGGCACTGCAAAAGAAGCAATGCCTTTCTTGTTCCCACTTGTGCTGTCCTCGCCTCGACCCGCCTTATGCTCCTCTCACGAAAGTCCAAACTGATCGGCAGATTCACGCTAGCAGGATTCCGGGCTGTCTCACAATTGGGAACTCTTCTTGTAGGGCCCCATTTCGTTTTGCCTGCCATATAGGTCCTGCTGGAAGGTTTGCTGCGAGATGTGGGATGTCCACAAGTGTATCAAGGCGCATCTGTGCATTTCGCTGCGGAAGACGGTTTGGCTCAAAATATGAAGTGCGGACGATGACAATGGGTTGAGCACCGGGAGGATCCTGCGATCGTCATGGTGGTGACTGTCGCTCGCAGCAAGCCATATTGTACCCTACCGGTAGCAGCTGCGTAGCAGCCAGCTGAATCCCTGCAACCGGGGCGACTCGATGAAGCTTCCTAGGTCTTAATGGTCGCTGAGAAGCCTTCAATCGCGCAGACGCTGGCCGATGCGCTTTCACCTGGCCATAAATACACAACTCGCACAGGGGTGTCTTGTCAGAGATGCAGCACCTGAAGGAACGGCGCGGGTTGCACACTGGAGACATGGTTCAAGAGCTTTTTGTGTTGTAGTCCGGCTCCTGCTTCCTGCCTTCTGTGACTTCCAGATGTTGAGTGTGCCTGTGCAGCTGTGGGATCATTCCACGGGCAGTTCCAGCTGCGATTCGGGGTTTTGGGGCTATGCCTGCTGAAGTCTCTTCAGGTTCCTTGAAGCCGCTTTTTTTTGTGACGTTTGTGACGATCTCAACTGTAGGTTCGTTTGCCTTTCATGTCCAAAGGTGTCACCGGCCTGCAAAGTCTTTGAGTACGAAGGGGACTTCTATGGACAGCGTGCTTGGTTCAAAGTCACAAGCTGTGCCGGCGGCAGCCTCAGAGCCAAGTCACAGTTGCCCGCTTGGATGTGATCTGGCTCTTTTGAGGTCATGTGTATTCCATTGATTTTCCACCAGAATACAACAACTGGGACAGGGTGGATCCTTTGACACTTTTTGGTGCCCCCACTGTCAAGATGGAAGCGAATCCCAAATTGAGGACTGGACTGCATCTTGTGCAGCAACAGCAAAGGATGCAGAGTCAAAGGGAAAGCTTACTCTTCAACTTGCTGCAGGATGCCGAAGCACTTCCAGACGGAGGCTGCCCGCCTAGTGATTGGTGCGTAGCATCAAGAAAACAGAATCAACATAATCTTAATGGAAATAATAGTAATATTAGATTTAATAATATTGATAATGATATTAATTACACAAAAACAGTCAATGGATGTGAAAATGATACTATATTCAAAAACAAAATATATTCATAATACTGTATATAATATATACAAACATAATAATAATGATGATGATGATAATAATAATAATAATCTTAATAATAATAATAATAATAATAAAATCATAGTAACAATAAAAATAATAACAATAATACCAATAATAATAATAATAATAATATTAATAATAATAATAATAGTAATAATAATAATAATAATACTAATAATAATACTAATAATAATAATAATAAATAAATAAATAAATAAATAAATAAATAAAATAAATATATATATATATATATATATATATATGCATATGTTTTTATTCAAACACAAAATATACAAATATAGCACAATATAAACAAAAATGCTTGTATTACTCCAATTATTAGAATATATATCTTTCATTCTTATTCTTACAGCATATCATATACTATTTACATTTAACTTTCTTAGTATAACACTAAAATTACTTGTATAACTATCATTATTATCATATACTCCATTACATATTATTTGTCTAACATATGTGAAATAAAAAACGGAGGAATATAATGATATAGCCGATTCATTAAACATATCTTTCTATATGAATCATATTTTGCAGTTGTTAGTGGACAATTACCAGAAAGAAAACCATAACATGCACATTGTTGTCTTTTATTTGAACCAGGAATTTGACCATAGTCGCTCGAAGCCCGTGTCGAAAGATGAAGCCACCCAAGAGATTGGATTCTGTCATGTC